CGGCACCGCCCGCCCCTCGTCGGCTCCCCCCGCGCTGGAGCCCCGGGCGGGAGCTGAGGGGGAGCCCGTGAGCGCGGGAGCCGAGCGCCTCTCGGGGAGCCAGGATGGCCTCGTCGTCGGGTAACGACGACGACCTCACCATCCCCCGGGCTGCCATCAACAAGATGATCAAAGAAACGCTCCCCAACGTCCGCGTGGCGAACGATGCCCGGGAGCTGGTGGTCAACTGCTGCACTGAATTCATCCACCTCATCTCCTCCGAGGCCAACGAGATCTGCAACAAATCGGAGAAGAAAACCATCTCCCCAGAGCACGTCATACAAGGTGAGCTTGCGGAGGCAGTGGGCTTCTGCCCGCCGTGCCACGGGTCGTTCAGGCTTTGAGCCACTCCTGTCCCGTTGCGGCTTTTTCCTCTGAGGTTTCTTGTAGCTACATGAAAGACAAAAGGCAGGGGTCTTCTAAGGGTCTGGAGGAAAAGTGTGTGTCAAGTGCGGCTTGTCAGTCGCATTGCAAGGGAAGGTTGTCTTTGTGTGGTTAGAGCGGCTGTTGAGTGTGCTCAGGACCAGCTCTCACTTTGTGATTCAGAGAAGTCTGTGATGTTTTGAGTGAAGTCATCCAACCCATTTGTCTTTTTCATGCCTGTGGAACGAGGTCTGCTTTTTCGAACGGTTCTGCAGATTTCTTCTACAGCATGTTTTAAGAGCCTGAACTTATTAAATGTCTGTCTCATTGGAGACTGACAAAAGATGTGTGATAGAGTACGTGGGCCCAGGTTTTAATCCAGAGTCATCCTGTCTGGATCCTATAAAGAGTAACATATTCCTTTACGGCTATCCTTGGAGTCTGAATGTTTAAAATTAAGTATTTGTATCTGTTGTAGAAAGCATTTAAACGTGACCTATGCCCTTGCATCTTTTTCTGCTGTTGACTTCCACTTCCCCTTGCTTGAATATAAGCAGAGTTCTCTGTCTCTTATTTGCTTTTCTTTAAATTCTGCCACAAACAGGGAGTGTCCTTGCCTCATCCTTAAGTCTGCAACAGGCTTCTTTTTTCAGGAATCATTCACTTTGCTGCTTAAGCAAAGGTTGTTGATACCAGTGTCTGCTGCAAACAAATCTATAGCAGTAATAATGAAAGAGTACTTTATTCTACTGCCTGATAGAGATATTAACAGTAGCATTTGCAGTAGAGCTATTTTCAGGACCATGATGGTACAGTCAGTTTAAAAAATGTTATGTTTTTTTGATAAGGATTCTCTGTTTCAAACAGAAAAAAAACCTGATTTGTTTGGATTATATCAGCATCCTCTCCTGCAGCGTTCCAAGTACTTGCCTGGATTATGAACAGCAAAAGAAAATACATAGTATGTACGAGCTTTAATATTAAATAAAATACATGTAAATCTGGAAGTTTAGCAAAGCAACTCTGTTACAGAAGCTCAGGATGTAAAGAGTAAAACTTGTGCTTGCATGTGGAAGCATACTTTGGGTATGATGGATACATGGATAGTTTCTTCGAGTGACCACCAAAACGTTTGAGCTCAGTTCTTAACATAGGAATAGACATAATCTTCAAGGTTGAGAACAATAAAGAGTTCATGTATGAAAGTATTTTCTGCCCAGTAGTGGTGGTCCTTAGAAAAGATTTCACCTATTGCTGCCCTAGGGTTAGTCTGGGTTTTTTGGAAAACAAATTGAAACCAAAATGTGTGTGTGTGTATGCGTGTGCATATCATCAGCAGGTGGTCCCAAACCAAGTGTTTCGCTGGGTTCTATGTCTTTGTGTTACCAGATTTCAGAGTTAGGAAAAATTATTTTCAAATTAGATGTGTACTTCTTAGTCAGATATTGCTAAGGAAAACTTTGGAGGTGTATCCATTTTTGTGATGCTCCAGAGATGGAAGGAGTTGTTCTTGCTCTTCTTATCTTTAGGGAGGTGTATGTGCTATTAGCTTCTTCCAGATGCTGGTCAGTTGACAGATGTTCCCTCTATGAGGTATGAAAGTTTAGATCGCTAATTTTGGAAACAGTGGTTATGGGTACATAGGTATAGCATTTCAGCATTTTCATCCATCTTCATAAATTCTAGACGCTGGTTATGTTGACTGCCTCTTAATGTAGCACCATGACAATGATGCTAACAAATTAAGTAATTGAAATAGGTTTGTTGTGGTCATCCAGATATCTTGTTCCTTTTGAATGCGTAAACTAGTTCATTTAGAAGTAAAATGAGGCTACTGGCCGTCACGTCACACCTGATCCAGGCTAACCACAGGCTGCTGCCAAG